GAGGAAAGCCTATGGGGACATGGGTCTTGGCCTGTAGCAGGAAAGGGAAGGCAAAAGCTGGGAAGGAGGGAATGTGTCCAAGCATCACCTGTCCCATAGAGCATGGCCAGCATGATGGAGGAGATCCAGGCTGTGTCACTGTATCCCACATGGAAATCTTTCATGAGCTCCTTGAAGTAGACACTGACGGCTTTTGGGAAGGCATAGGAGAAGCCGGTGATCACAAAGCAGCCGAGGAGCACGATCCAGCCCCAGCCACCATCTGGGGGCTTCACAGGAGCTGGGAGATGCCCTTCCTCTGGGTCACGTCTCCCCATTGTCTAGCCTAGGAGAGGAAAGACAGGGTGGGAGGAAGCAGGGCAACAGAAGGAGGGGAAAAAAGAGAGGGAAATCTCCAGGCACTGCAGGAAGAGCAGAGCAGGACAGGCAAATATCTACTACAAGCTTGCTCTCCATGCCGGCCATCCCCAAGCGCCGAGAGCCTCCCTGGGGTAGCACATCATCTCTCTGTACCTTCATCCTGCCAGGCAGGGCAGGATTGCTTCAGGCTCTGAGGTCAAGGCACAACTGAGCCCAGGTGGGAAGCCCCCCCATTGAGCTTGGCCATCCTACAGCTCCATAACTAACTCCTGGTCAGACACAGCCAAGCAGGGTCACAGCACCCAGCTGAGACTGGAGAGCTGCATCTGATGTGGTGGGGCACCAGGACCTGCAGCACCCCACTTGCGCCATATCCAGCCTTGCCTGCAGGCTGGTGCACGGTGAAAGCCAGCACCATGGATCCCTTTTGGCTCCCAAGATCTTCCCTCAAGCCTCTCCCATCTCAGTCCTGGGAGCCCTCCAGGACTTTCCCTGCTACCAAAGTCCCCATCAGTGAGGCACAGGAGATCCATTAAGCCCCCTTGTGCTTTCCTCTGGGAGGCCCTGCCCTCTCTCGCCCTCCCTTCCCTGCTGTGAGGGGCCAGATTTGGGAAATGGGTGAAGGGGAAAAGCACTGCAAACCGGTGGTTATTTGCATGCCAGAGAGATTAGGGCTCTGTACCTACACATAAGGGCCTGAACAAAGCCTAAAGGGGGGAGAAGGAGGGAATTAGAGGGGATGTCTTGTGAGTAGCTCTTGGGGCTCTTAAGCTGCCCAGGAATTTTGTTTCAGTTGGCTGCTATGGGTATGTTTTTCTCATTTCTCCCCTAGGCACCAGGTCTCTGCCATATCTCTTCCAGCACCATTGGCCTCAGTTTCTTGGTCAGCCAGGCTTATTGTCACACCCCTACGTAAAACTATCACTGGACTTTGATTATAGATGCTCCCAAGTAGCATCAGACAGGCATTAGAAAGCAAAGGGGCTTTCTCCATGGTTGAGCTGGGCTCTGTCAGCTGGTTTGCCCTATTACCATCCTGCTGGCAGTACAATCCCAAAATGTTTTCTGTCTCCTCCCCTGATCCCTTAGCTGAAGGACTGTGCGATGATGACAATGTCCATATCCCTTGACACTGACGGTCATGGGAAATGCCAGCAGTCATATCCTGAGACTGCTGAGGGAGCAAGGAAACTCCTATGGACGGGACATACAGGGCTAGACCTGGAGATTTTGGGTTTGTGTATGTTTCTCAAGGACTTCCTTCTTCTTCGTGCTCTCCAAGCAATGGGTACCACTTGGCCTGATCCCCATAGCTGCTGTTGCTCAGCACGTTAGAAAAGTGCAAGTCCTTTAGGCAAACTCATGGATGGCAGAAGCTGCAGGAGAGCCCAGGCAAAGGGCCCCTGCTTGGCAACAGGAGGTACTACCCCATGACACCACTGTGTCGCGCAGAAAAGGAGAGCAACTGGCTTTCTCAGGCTGCAGGAGATTCAGGATGCGGAGGTGAAATTGATAATGGGGCTGGGAACTGCTGTGAGAGGGTCTGAAGCTGCTGTTTAGGGGAGCAAGATAACTAGGTGAACCCGTGAATCTGGGACAATGAGGAAGAGGGAGCACGATCTGACTGAGCACAGACTGCGGCAGCCATATCCTAACAGCTCTCAGGCTGAACCACAGGGGCTGGTGCAGGCTTCTCCAGTCTCTCCCCCCAAGTCCCAGTTCTCAGGGACTGTGGCAAGGGACAGGGGCAGGAACAGGGCGCTATGAAGACATTTTCAAGGCCAAGAATGATGGCAAGGATAAAAAGATGAATTGCACACTCTCCAGACACCCATACCTCCCCCCTCACATCCTTTCTGGTGTTGTCTGGATCACTGGCACATGGCTGAACTGTCTTACACAGCTCCTGCCATTACCCTCCTCTCCTAGCTCCACCTGACTCACAGCCATGTATGGCTATACAAAAGGTGATCTGCTGCAAAAGCGCAGTGATTTCTCTATCAGTGCTTGTGCTCCACCACTGCACCGTCTCCTGCACATAGCTACTTCCAATAGGAGTGACTGCCACCAAACCTACCCTGAGCCTTTTCATCCAAGCCCCTCTCCCAGCCTCACTCTTCTTGCTCTTGTCCTGCACCACAAATGAAATGAATCAAACCGTTGCAATTCATCTGACTTTTGGTTAGGAGGTTTTTTTCCCAGCTTCCTAGCAAAACAATACTTGTCCACCTGTGGCATGCTCTTCAGGGATTTCTCCAGCATCACCTGCCAGTAAGTCCACAACATCTGGTTTTGAAGAGCCCACTAGACAAACATCCCTCAGTACTGTTAGAGTTTGGAGCTGGATGGGCACCTCTGCAGCAACCACTTGTTCAGTGCTACAGAACTGTACATCAAAGGCATGAAAGAGCTTTTACTTTCCTGCAGATAAATATTGGCTGAAAAAGATGATGTTCACCAGAGGAGATCACCTCTGGAGATGCCTCCAAGGCCAATATACTGTAACACATTTACCCCAGCTCTGAGATGGCAGTTCAGAGTTGCTTTGTTCCTAACACTGCAGAACATGCGTTAGCTCTTCTGTTCACAGCTGCACATAGAATCACACAATGAACCAGGTTGGAAAAGACCTTTAGGATCATCAAGCCCAACCATTACCCCGGCGCTGCTGGCACTGTTTACCCTGCTTTTGCACACTCCACAGCTTGCTATTCTCTTCTCCTCAGTTAAGGAGCTTTAGTCACAGGTAAAAATACCACGAGTAAGTTCACATGCACCTGAAAGCTCATCAGCACAGGCACCTGTCCTCCCCCGTGCATCGCAGGCAGGTGGACCAGAGCTGCAGAGCTACCTGTGGATGGGTGCCAGGAGGAGACTTGTGCTGGCACCAGAAGTCACAAGCCCAGGGTGGGAGGGCAAAGACCACAGCAGGTTCCGGTGCGGCTGCCAGTCCCTGGGCACGCACCGAACATGAAGTAGCTGGTGCTGGATGATGCCCAGCAAAGCCCCACTGTGCCAGGCGAGCAGCAGTCATGAGGGTCCACATAAATGCTAGGGTGGCTCCTAGTGCCTCCCCACAGTGCAGGTAGGGTGAGGGGTCTGTTTATTGAATGCAAGGGCAGTGATTCATGCCACCAGCCTCCCCAGCCCACAGACAACACAAAGCTTTTGTTAGAGAATTAAATGAGTGCAGGCTTAAATTAAATGAGCTGTCCCGTTGGCACCCAGCGCCAGGATTCAAGCATCCATCCCTCCACACCACTGACCTGTGCAATGAAGCGACAACCTCCCGAGCAGGGGCTGAGCAGACCAGTCAGCAGCACTTCCCTTCTCCCTCTGGCTGGCACTTCCCAGCGCTGGACTAGGGCACACCGTTAGATGCCCCTGCTGGCTCTTTGCTCCATGGTGGGCACGCCGTCAGCTGGGCACAGGGTGATGCCTGCAGGAATCCAGAGGTCTCTTGTGCCTCTCTCCTTTTGGGGCAACTATGTCCTCCCTAGAGAGCTAACCCCCTCTCAGCCTGCTCTCCTCTGGCTCCGACGCTGCCTGTGGCCGATCCAGGGGGATGCCCAGCGTGTGGGACCCCCTTGCCTGCTGTGTGTGTGCAGGTAGTGCCTCACGGCTCTCTCAGCATCGATGTGGGTCAGCAGCTGCTTATGGTTTCAGGTCGGCAGAGAGCGGCCGGTGCTGAGCGGGCAGAAAGCACTCCTCCACTTTTAAGAGGCTTTTCCAGCCAATGGGGAGGAGGTGGCTGCCTGCTGCAGCCCGAATCCCCCCGTAATCCCGCTGCCCAGGGGCTCCTCCCCTTCCCTTCCCAGCACAGTGGGGCAGGCTGGCGGGGCAGAATCAGAGGGGCTGAGGCAGAGGGAAGCAGAGCGAGGATGGGGAATGCTGATGATGGACCCAGCCAGGACAGAGGGTGCCAGGGAGGGGGCAGTAGCCCACACTTCATTAAGGGGTAAAATAGGTGAAGGGGCTGTTTCAAAGCCCTCCACCTCTTCCTCAGCTGCCAGCCAGAAGGATGGAGAAGCACTGGTGTGGTTTTGCACATGTCCAGCAGAGAAGGAAGACAAGGACGGATCAGCTGAGGAAGCTCTGCCAGCCATGGCTTGAAGCACCAGATCCACCCCACCAACATATCCATCCTCATAAAACCCCAAATCCCCTCAGTGGCTCCGACCTATAAGGAGGTCAGGCAGGCACTGGGGACCAGCCTCTGGCCACACAAGTGGGAACCCACTTTTTTCCCAGGGAGAGGGCTGGAGCTCACCACAGGTGGGTTTTTGGGGAGGCAAAGACCAAGGCTGTAAACCCCCATAGGCCCTCAGGCTCCTGGCAGTGGGGGGGCTGTGGGGGCTTTGCAGGGCTCACAGCCAGGGTTTAATGTCTATTAATAAGGCTAATCGGCTAAAGTCCTGGCCATTGCTTGTGCTCCTTCCCTCTCCCACATCGCCTCTCCCGTGAGGCCTCAGCACATACAGGGCATTCCGGGCTGGTGAGGTCCCCACAGATCCCGACCCCTGGGATGGCCACAGAAGCGTCTTTCCCTGTTTTATTAAAAACCCCAAATATTTTCCCCAGGACAACAGGCAGAGGAGCAGGGCAGCAGCACTGCCCCTGCCCCTGCCTTGCCCAGGGCTGCGCTGGCGGTAGGAAGGGGCAGATGCTGCTACAAAGGGGCTGAGGGCAGAGCACTACACTACATGTGCAGACCCTGTCAGCTGGTCCACAGCACTGAGAGACCTCCTGTGGCCTCCTCCCTTTGGGGTTCATTCTGGTAGCAAAGGGACTGTTTGGTGAGAGCCCTTCTCTGCCAACAGCAGGGCCAATATAGCTTCACCTTTGTCATCCTGCTGGCACTGCCCCATGCTGCAGATGACCTTACCCGCCCATCCCTCCACCTCGAAGAGCAGCAGCATCCCCTCTCCCAGGGCACCAGCACCAGTAACACCACACTTCTCCCATTCAAGTACAGTAACATCACACAGGGAGGGGGCACAGAAGGGATCTGCTGCTGGCTATAGTGTGCCGGGCAGCCCAGTGAAGTCTTGATGTCCCAGAGGTAAGGGAGGGGAAAAGAAAGGTTACTCCATGAGTGGTAGCACTAAGTTGCTGCCCAGCTGGAGGGGCACAGCCCATATCTTCTATGCCCCCTCCTTCCCTTCTGACATTGTCCATGATCTGCAGCCCTGCTTCATCGGATGATGGGTGCTGAGCGGTCGTTGGTGACTGTGGGACGCAGCTTCACTGTGGCAAAGGGGTTGGTACCTCTGGAAGGGGAAAGAAAGCAGGCAACCATCAGGAAACCTGCAAAGACCATGCAGGGGTCCTGCTGACCAAGCAAAGGGTATTTAGTCCTGCTGGAGAGCCACCTCCATGCTGAGGAGGAGCATGGTAAAGCTTGCTGCTGAGGATGTTTTCTTCCTCCTTAACACACACTCTGCTGCAGGTTTCCATGGGGTTCCCCTTGGGCTTGCCTCAGGGCTCCCTCTTCCATGGGATGTAGGAGGGACATTAGCAAAGGCTGTCCCTTGCAGTAGCACTCTACACTTGTGGCCCCTGATCATCCAAGCAAGGGGTCAGGGAGCAGAAAGAGGCTACAGCACCATCCAGAAACAGGGAGACACCAACCCAACCACAAAGGGAAGGAAAGCAGGGATTTGTGGCAAGACTCATCTCCACAGACCTGAGTCATCATAGTTAAAAGCCACATCCCTTATGCCTCAGCCTTTTCCAAGCAGGCAGAGCTGCATGAATAATGTAGCTCCACACTCAGCTGCTCTTGTGGCTCTTCCAGAATGGATGGGAAGGAGCATGGAGGACCCATATGCTCAGGGTGCTCAAGTCCTACCTCATATTACCAAAGACAGGAGAGAACTTTCCCAGTCAGCAAAGGCCAGACTGTCCCACCTCTCCCCCCTGTCCTAGAAGGTGGATTGTGCATTGCTTTCCTGCAGACGCTTCCCTGCTCCTCCCATATTTGATAATCCAAAAGATTAAATTAGTATAAAACTGTAATAAAGCCTCCCCTGTGTGATGATTCCAGAGTGGAATTTCACGCCTCACTCACCGTGGGAAGAGTTCAGGGGGCTGGTCAAATATTCCTGATTTCTGCAGTGAAGAGAAAGGCAGCAGTGAGTGATCTGGGGTAGGGAATGGAGAGACACAAGCGGGGCAGGAGACACCGCACACACTGAGGAAGGTTTCACACAACACTGTTCCCTTAGGACACCTCCCTTTGCCTTGGGAAAGATGCCTCCGATCCCCGAAGTGTCGTGTCTGGCAAGCACAGCACACAGTGACAGTCTGAGCTACGTTTCACCCTGCCAGCACAGCCAGAGATGCCCCCCTTGTGTTACTCACACACTCTGGCAAAGGGCTCATCACATGCTTCCTGCATCCACAGAGAACTCGAGAGATGTAGCTGCGTACCCTACACCACGTACTGCTTGAATGTGGACCAACCTGGTGGAGAAAGATGGGCCTAGGCCCTGTGGCCCTTACTCTTGGCTAGTAGATAGTGAAGGATCAGTGACAACTGACCCGCTAAAGCATGCCAGCTTCTGCAGCTTATGCCAGACAAGAAGGTCACATGTGGCTGTCTGTGCTCCAGTTGGGAAGTCAAACACGCACCCATTTACTCCTGGCTCAACTGGAGGACGTTGTGGGCATAAGCTTAGAGTATGGCTGAGCCTTTCCAAATTCATAATGAGGCTCAGTCGCTGTGCCATGGTGCTCCGAATGTTCCACACACTTCATTGCTCAATGCCAGGTCTATCCCTACACCCTAGCCCTGGGGATGGATGAAAACCCATGACCCACAGGGGGTGATAGGCTGCCGATCCTGTTCCCCTCTGTGCTCTGCTGCGTGAGGCTCCCTGAAACCACAGAGCAGGACATTAAGGGAATAAAGAGTAACTAAATGTTGTGTTTTCCAGTCCTTGAAGCCATGCCTTTGCTTGCCTTTGCAGCAACCAGAGATGAGGTTTCCCAGCCTTCTATAAGACTGAGCGAGTCATGCACCATGGGCATCAGTGCTCTTTCCTCTCCCAGGTCCTCACCATTAACTGTCCTCAACTTTAACTGTGTCCTCACCAGTCAGTTCCCCACAGCTGGAAGCACTGATGAGTGGAGGGTTTCCTCCTCAGTATGCCATCCATAAGGCATGGGTTGACACAACTTGTTCTAAGGCCCTCCAAAATAAGTGTGCCCTCAGCCTTTGCCCCTAGCTTTTCCCTTAGCCCAGCTGTGATTTTAACCCAGGCCCTGCTTGAATTTAGACAAAGAGACATATGAAATTCCTCTCCATTCTCTGAAGGGAGAAGAAGGATGGCATCTCTGTTAGCTGGTCACCCACTCCCAGCCCAGCCTGATCACTCCATGGTCCTACTATTAGCAGAAAGAGGTGCTGCCCTGGAGCCACCAGAAATCAGGCTGGGGGGTCATGGAGAAAAGGGCGGAACTGCAGGATCCCTGCTGAGCAAAAATAGAGAGAAATGAGAAGGGCAAGGGCACAAAAGCAGTCCCTTGTGGGGGCAAAGCGAGGTACTGAGCATCTGCACACACAAGGCTGACTGGCAGGGGTCACCAGGGTATGGTGGCATGCGAACGGACTGGGTGAGAAAGGCCAGTGCTAACAAAACTCCTTGACTCAGGAAGGGAGGAGGTCACACACCAACATCAGGAAGGTGTTTCCCCTTCTCAACAGGCCAGTGCAGAGAAGCTGTGTGCTGGAGGATGGAAGTCAGGCGTGGCCCACTCCATACACACACCCCCACACCAGTCACTCCTCCTGCACTCACCTTGGAGCCAGAACTGACCGGGGTGACGACCCCACTCTGGTGACTGCTGGCACCCATTGAGAGGGGAGGTGGGCTCGGCAAATGGGGCTGGGCAGTGGCAGGCCAGTAATTGCTAGAGGAAGGAGTGCTGGGACGGTCCAGGATATCATCCATACTGTGACTGCTTCGCAGTGGGAAAGACCTGAGCAAGAGAAGAAGACAGTGGGGTGAGAGTCGAAGAGCAAGGAATAGGGAGCAGCATGGCTTCTAGCCACAACATGTATCTGTGGGATGCCTCTGGGGAAAATGCACGTGGCTTGGACTGGCACATTCACAAGTGCCTTTGAGAAGATACTGCACATGTTAGAGGAGCCACCTAGGGTTAACCTGTGTGCTCTCTGGGGGCAGCGACGTGCTCAGCAGATGCTTCAGCTCTCCACAAGGCACATCCAAAACAGGTACCCACTAGAGTTAGTGACCTACCAGGAGCCACTCCAGCTCCTGCCTGGCCAATTGCTCTCCAGTTACCTGGTAGCTGGCTCCTCCATCTCTCTCGCATCCTCCAGAGGCTTGACATAAGCTTCAGGGAACCAGCCGCACCTAGGGCACAGGAACAGACACAAATGAAGTCCAGACAGCCACGGTTTGTGGTTCTTCAGACCCAGCTGCCCAGCACTGCTGATCTACACACATCACCCAAGCCAGTGCCGCTGCTACTGTGTGTGACAGTGCTTCTGCACATCCTTCACCTCTAGATGGGGCGTGGAGTAATCACCAGGCTTGTGCGCAATCTGTGCTCCTGAGAGCAGCGCTGGTGCAATGCAGGAAGACTCTGTCTGAGCACAGTCACGAGGCACTCAAGGCCAGAGCACATGGAAGCTGTGGAGATCCCTTCTCAGGGCAAACCAGAACCCCCTCAAAGAGGGGCACTGCTCTTGTTCATCTCCTATCTGAGTGCGAGCCTCCCTGCAGAGCGCGGCACAGGGACCCCATGCGGAACAGGCTTGCGCACGGGGGCAGCGCCGCAGGGAGTAATTCAGTAAGCGGAGGGTGCAGCAGTTTCCATGCCCTGCCTGCGCAGCAGTTGCGGTGTGAGCTGAGAAATGCCAGCCCTCTCAGGTAACTCCAGCAGTTCACAGCCCTGGCCTGGATCCCATGACAGGAGTCACTCAGCCTTGCACACCGGGAGGGGGTCACTGTGCCCCTGGCTCTTCCACCCAAAGCCGCTGGGGCTTCCTCAGGCAGCTCATCCCTGTCCCACTGCACCTCTTTGGCTTGGGGAGTCCCCATGACTGAGGACATAGTAAACTCCCACACATACAGCGTATGAGGCACCACACAGACCGCACCAGGAGGGGAGGGGGGAGATGATTTGGGCTTTAAACCTCCCAGCTCCACACCCAACAAGCCTGCATCAGCCCCATTTACAGCACCAAAGCCACGTACGTGGACGAGCCCTCCAGCTTGCCATAGAGCCAGCCGTTCTGTGCCTCGGGCATCAGCACCGTGATGACATCCCCGGGGTCAAACCGTAGCAGGGTCCGGTTGACGCCGGTCGTGTGGGGCACGATAGCCTGCACTCTCGCCATGCCGCTCGTCCTCCTGCCTTCGCTGCCGCTGCTTCTGGCCTCGCCGAAGGAACCCGACCGGGAAGTGCGGCCGGTCGGGAGCAAACCTGCGGGGAGGCATCAGAGGGGTCTGCCTGGAGCCCAGCATCCTCCTGCAGGACCCACGCTGCCTCAAAGGGCTTCCCCAGTGGAGCGATTACTCTAGGGGAGGAGTAGATGGCCTTTCTCTGCTGGGAGAGAGCAGGCACAGCATGGGAAAAGCATGGGAAAACGTTCATCTTGCAGGAGGAAAACCAACTCAAGCTGAAAATCAAGCTTTGCACTATGTTTCCTTCGGCCAAATGTCTAGAACACACACACTGCATGCCCCAGCTGATGCTCTGTCTGATGGCCCTCTTCCTGACCCTGCTAGAACAACTGTTTGGGTAAGTCTTCTCTCCCACTGTCCTTTTCTGGGGTTTCTTTAAACATTTTAAGCTGGAATTCCTTAGGAAGAATAAGCAGGTGAGACACGAGGTAAGTGGCTGGGTTGTGGGGCAGGCTAATATTTAATGTAGCAGCGTGAGGGAAGGTGCTTTACTCAAATGGGAACTCCAGTAAGAACCAGCCCTCACGGCTCAAGAGAAACTGGAAATTGCACATCTGTGGGTTCCCCACCTCACACAGCCAAGGAGTCCTGGCCTCGTCCTGAATGGGCCCTGCTCACCCTCTGGTTGAGCTCACCCTCTGCCTTACCCCCCGAGCTCCCACAAGCACGGTCTTCCCACCATGCCAAGGAACGTGGCTGAAGACCATTAGTCTGATAGAGTGGTGGTCCCTCCCCATCCCCAGCCCTGTTCCCAGAGGGGTCATACTGGCTGATGGTGTCCTCTGCAGTGGCTGCCTGGGGGGCTCTGGCTGAGGAGACAGTCTCATTTCTGGAGGCTCCGGAGAGAAGAGGCTGGATCTACTCCCAGTCATGGAGGAAGTGAAGTCCCCAAGGGGTCTCTGGGGCTGTTGGAAGGAAAGGAGGTTGAATACACATCCACAGTTCAGTGGGAGATGCTCTGAAAGACACACAGTCCCTCTCAGGAAGCCAAACCCAGCATGTTCCCTCATTGCTGCCCATGCACACTTTACCCTTCACCTTGGTCAGGAATGGCCATGGAAGCTGGACAAGCCAAGGACTAGCCTTGCCCTACAATCTGAAAGGGGCAGTAACAGCTTCACCACCACAGAATCAATCACAGAATCACAGGATAGTCTGGGTTGGAAAGGACCTTCAAAGTTCATCCAGTCCAACCCCCTGCACTGAGCAGGAACACCTTCAACTAGACCAGGCTGCTCAGAGCCTTGTCCAGCCTGGCCCTGAATGATTCCAGGGATGGGCTGTCCCTCCCCTCTCCGGGCAACCTGTTCCAGGCTTTCACCAAACCAGGTGGGGGCTGTCCATGGGCTCCTCACCATCTCCAGGTGGGTGGGGGTGAGCCGGCCCGATGGATACCCTTGCCCATGAGAGGCTCCGAGAAGGCCCTGCGAGTGGCTGTTTGAGGGGTTGCGAGTGGCCTCCAGCTGCTCCTTCCACTGCGGTGCCTTGGTCTGGATCATGGCCCGAGCCTGGGGAGGGGGAGAAGAGGAGGTGATGGACAGGGCAGAAGAGCTACAGAGGGAGCCAAGGCTGCCACATGCGTTAGATTAGAGACCAACTCCTCCCACAGTTAGGTTTGTGGGAGCCCCTCAGGAGCACCTCCCATGGTCCCCAAAGGCCCTGCTATAAACGCCTACATCCCCATTCCCTCTCCCATCACTCACACACCCAGCTGACCCTGTGTCAGCACCATCCTCAGCCCCAGCCATGCTCTCCCAGCCTAGCACAGTCAGCCTGGACCCCACAGCAAGAGGTGAAATTGGGTTTGCTGCCCAGTGCATGCACAGACATTGCTTTCACCCCATGGGATCTCAGCACTGGCTCCCTCCAGCTCTGCTCCCCAGCTTGCCAGGCCGTACCCTGCTATAGAACTGGAGGAGGGTGTTGTAGAGCATCTGGTGCTTCTCAGCCAGGAAGCGGTAGCGGCGTTTCTCCTCCAGCTCAGCCTCTCTCTGGCTCTCAGAGACGAACGCCTGCATCTCCGAGCGCAGCCGCATCACGTTATCCTGGGCCACAGGGGAAAGGGGGAAGAAGGGATCCGCATAAATCCAGCAGAGTGGGATCATACACAGCAGGGGAAGGGTTGAAACGGGTCATCGTGTCTACCAGCTTCCCAGTCTGCTCGCAGTGCTGGAGCAGCACAGAGGAGCTAGAGCAGAGTGCCAGCGACAGAGCCCTCCCACATCAATGCTTGCTAAATGAGGAAAGGGCTTGACAAGAATGAGCACCGCAGGTCAGCAGCACCCTGTGGAAAAGGAGTTTCCTCCCTTCCAGGTAAGCCTGAAGCCTTTTGGATGCTGGGGCAAACCCCTTGGCTTTTAAGGGAGGACAAAGTTGCTGAGAAATCAGCCCTGACTCTGGAAAAATCACCCAGTTCCTTTTCCCCCTCCCCTCCCTGCAATCACTGCTCACCTTCATCTCACGGACATTCTTATCACGGGCTCTCTCCATCCTCCACAGCTCTGCCATGCACTTATCCAGGTTAGCGGCTCTGCGTTGGTACTCCAGTTCATACTGCTTCTGGCTCTCCTGTCAGGGAGAAACCAGGCTGGGTGGCAAAACAGAGACCCAGGCACACTGTGATGCAGCAAGGGTCCTGCTCTGATGGGCGGTTGAACACCTGAGTCCCTCTGAAATCAGGCTTTTCCTGAACCTCTCATTGCTCTTTCTCTTTCTCTTTGCTTTGAACAGTCCCAGAATACTGATGAACCTCAAGAACACAGGAGGAAGAACTGGCACCCAGCTCCCCCTGCACTGGAAGCGATGCCACAGCCTCTGTCTCCCCCTGTGACATGGCTCACCAGCATGGCCAGCTGGGCCACAATGGCACAGGACTCACAACCACGCAGAGGCTGTGGTTTGGGGAAGCTGGAAACTCTGCTTTTGGAATGCTGAGTCTCTCAGCCCCGTTGAAGCATGTGGCAAGTCCCACCACACATAGAACCTGCATCACGCCATTATCAACCAAACTAGGGAGAGGTTTGGTCCGTGACAGGAGAAGACGAGCCCCCTAACTCCTTGAGGAAACACCTCAAGTACTAAAGCAAAAGCCCTTGGAGAGAAGGGAGAGGGAAATGAGAAGAATTGAGAAGGGAGGTAATCACTCACACTGATGAACTGTACATCCATTTTGGTGTTCTTCTCCATGTGCTGCAGCAGGTCCACGTGAAAGGTCTGAGCCTGGAAGAGGTGAAGGAGCCATCAACCTCATCCCTTCACCATATGGGGTGTTACAAGCGCTGTGGTGAAGGGTGGCTCGTAAAACCTGCAGAGCTGATGACTCTCTTGCCCTCTGGACCCCATATAGAAGCCAGAAATGGGCACATCAAGGCTACTCTGAAGCAGTCTTGGGGTCAGTACCCAGCACCCCCCTAACCATAGGTCACCCTGGGGCTTTGGCCTGGGCACAGACAGCAGTGTCTGGAAGGGCTAGCATCCCGTCCACTCCTTCCCACCCCTGTGACCCAGGGAAAGCGAGGATGGGAATGCCTCATCTTCAGAGCCAGGCATTGCTCAATCCACCACCCATCCACCACCACGCTTCTGGAGCGGCGGTGATAGTCCACCAACAGCACCAACCACTGAACACCGGCTGGGTTCTGCGCATGCTGCTCTGTAACACGCCTCCGTCACGTGCAGCAGGGAGAGCAGGGGGGCAGGCGCCTGCCAGCAGGCACGTGAGATGGCAGGAGATGGGGTGAACTGGGCCAACGCTGTTGTTAAGGAAGTCCCTTGATTCCCCACCTGCACCGGCCCTCGGGGAAAACCACTCACCACCACTTCCAAATCAGAGCTCAGGACTCTCTGCGTGTTGGACATCTGCATCAGAATTTCACCTGCAGGCAAAGAGCCAGGAGAAGGTGGGGAAATCCAGCAGCCATTTCCTTGTGTGCCCAAGGAGGCAGGCCGGCAGCGTGCCGCTCAGGCTGATGATACACGGGTGTGAAAGTCCAACAGCTATCACAGAGCACCGCTCCCTGCTCCCTGCAGGAGGCTGGCAGCCTTCCTCCCCAGAGCTCAGCTCCAACACCACTCCCTAGGCACCATTGGCACGGGGTTGCTCCAGCCCATGAAGCTGGCAGGCCAGTGCTCTGTTACAGCTCCATGTGCTGGCAGGGTGCTGGGTTTCTGCTCTGTCACACAGCCCCTGTGGGTCCCATTTCTAACCCCAGTGGCACCCCAGCTGCGGTGCATGGTTGTGGGTGTTGCACAGGAAGGCAGCTACAGCACTTGCTGCTGGTCGGGACTAGATGAGCTTAAGGTGCTCTCCAATCCTAGCTATTCTATGATTCTGTGATGCTGTGCATGGTCCCGATTCACTGGTGTTAGTATCATGAAACTGGGAAAGGAAAAGACGGATGATAGGAAGCACAGGGACTAGCTGGATGATGCAGATGACTATAGGAGTCCCTATAGAAGCTTATTATTAAAATGATTAGCAATAGAGCAATTTCCTGAGCATATTTTCAGCAGCCATCATTAGGCTATGGAATTATTTGCCCTTCAGCTCCGAGCTGCCATTTCATCTTGCTGCAGGCTCAGGAGAACAACATCCCACTGGCTATTGTCAATCCACGCTCTCCAGCTTTTCCCTCACACCTGCAAGGAGGAGAAAACTGGTTCCCCCAGCTCTTAGGGCAGCAAGGACTGGTTTCCATGAGAGGTCCATTGCTGGAGGTCCATCCCAGCAGCTCAGTCATTGATCTCAGAGGGATACTGGAGAGAGGGCTAGGGCCTTGGGTTGTTCAAGGACATACAGTAAACGTGACTCTAACCAGCTAGACAGGGCCTGGTGCTGGGAGACACCATTTAGAGGAGCTGTCTTCCTTCCCCCAGTACCTAGGAAGGGAACAGGTAAGGGGGAAGGCCAAAAGCTTGTAACTGTGGCTCATCACAGGACAGAGGATCATAAACAGGAGAGCCTTACCCAGCATGTGTGAGGTTGAGCTCTGGAGCGCTTGCTCCCCAATCTTTTCAATTGCCTTAAAATACACTTCAGCTGCTTTGGATAATGCTGTGAGGAGAGGAGAGGAGCGGTAAGGATCTGGCCTGCCTTATCACCATGACCAGCCCCAGCAAGCAGTGCACAGGACAGCCACCCCCTGGTACCTCACCTATAGGCAAGGACATCCCATTTCTCCCAGTCTGTGCCTAATAATAGCAGTGGGTCCTGGAGCAGAAGAGTACTTAAGTGCAGCACAGGACAACTAAGAGTAGGGGAACCAGCAACTTTGTCCTGGGTGATGGCACAGTGGACACACGGGATGGACACAGCAGCTTGATCTGGCTCTGTGGGACCCCACTCACCATGGAAGGCACGCAGGTAGTTGTTTCCCAGGTACACCAGGTTCTCCAGCGCAGGGTTGAACTGCTCCAGGATGCTCTGTGCCAGGCAGAAGCACGTTAACACCAGCCTGAGCCACGCTTCAAAGACCTCAGCAGGTCAATGTCCTGCTGTGGCTCGGCTGCATGCAGCAGGGACGCAGCTCCCACAGCCACAACCTGGAGAGCCGCGCTGATGTGCAGCCCTGCACAAAGTCAGCTCCCTGCACCAGAGGGACCTTCGAGTCCTCTCCAGGCAGCCAGGAGAGAAGCAGTATCAGAAGGCAAGGCAGCCTGCTGCACAGCCAAGCGGTGTCTTTCTCCCAGGGCCCCACAGCCACTGCAGATGGGGGTATAATTCAAGGGGATCTGAGCAGCCTTTTCCCCTCACTCCATCACCTCAATGTTTATTATCCAGGCATGAACATGACTTTTTCCTGGCCAGGATGTGGTGCACTGCCAGTCTCAACAGCTTAGTAAGAGAAAGGAGGGACTGCATCAGACCAGCCTCTCTGCTCTTGCCTGCCGTATTTATCAAAGGTGTTTATTGCCTACAACAGAGATCCTTTATTTTCTTTCTCCCAGTCCTCACCACCTTGGAACAGCACTGATGAGCAGGGAAGGACTTGTGAGATCAGACTGCTCTTTCCAGCAAGGAGGAAAACAGCAGACTGAACACCTCCTTCCTACCAGCAACCAAGGTGTGTTATCCTGAAGAACACCATGAATGTTCCATGTCCAAATCACACTGCTTGCCCAGTTCCTTCCCAGATATGCCTTAAGACCCACACCACCTTCCCCTTCTGCCAGCCATCTGCTCTCAAGCACAGCGCAGAGCCCGCAGGAGCTGCTGTTTCCCTGGGGAAGGGACAGAGCCCTTGGCTGTCCACCCAAGGGAGAAAACAGCTCTTTTCCTCCTACCCATGCATCTCCCCTAGGCAGACAGGAGCAGTCTTTGGTGCCAGCACTCACCTTATAGATGGAGATGGTGGATCTGTAGGACAGGTCCATCTCTGGAGCCTTTTCCTCTCTCCCAGAGAGGAGGAAGGAATAAAGAACAGCACAAGGTGCTATCCTGGTCTGGAGGACTCTGCTTCCGCACAGCCGGCTGGATGGCAAGAGGCCTTTGCTGACAAGGAAGGAGAGCAGGAAGACACAGCCGCGGTACAAAGGGAATGCAGCACCGCTGGAGTTTAATAATTCACCAGCCGAGAGGCTGGAACTTGATCCCTGGAAGTAACCGGACTCTTGGGGAGAGAGGAATCCTGCGACAGCCAGCAAGGGCATGTGAGCCCCTCCCTGCATTATTGATGGCCGGGCTGGTACCCAGCTCTGCCTGCCCCGACACCTGCGGAGCCAGCCACCTGCCAGAGAAACCGCCTTATGGCTCGCTGCCTCCCTCACTGCCACCACTCAAGGTGGCTTTGCTCTGCTCGCTGTGCTAGAGGAGCATCCTCGGTCTCTCACATGGACACCTCATGAGTCAGGAGATCCCTGTCGGCTTGCAGTCACAGGTAACAAATGGCAGCAGCCAGAGGGACAGGTAAGGAAAGCTCAGAATAGGTTCCACCTCTTCCCTGCCCGCTATTCCCCCACCCCAGCCATCAGCCCATTGGCTCTTTATCTCTGTCCCATACCCAGTGAGACTCCCTGATGGCAAGTAGCTCCAAGGCAGCATCACTCTGGGAGGTCCTTGCAGATAGTGCAGGCTTACAAAGAGGAGTGGAGTGCTAGCCAGGGGCAAAAAGCAGAAAGGAGTTCATATTATCTCCATTTCAAGATGTGGAGTTTTGGTTTTTCATGGGAAGCCCCTTTTTTATGTAGGAAAATGAAATCATGTACTCCACATTAGAAGCCACTTGATTCGACAGTCTCATCTGTGAAACTGAAGATCAGAATGTAGGTAATCAGTTTTTAGCCCTATTCATGCCTTAGTGCCTACCCCTATGGCAGTGTCCCTAGGAAACAGTGGCATAGGTCCAGCAGGCTTGCAGCAGTTAACTTGCCCAGGAACCACCTGGGGATACAAACACTAAAGCCCCATCTACAGTCATTTGTATCCCAAAGGGATTTCAGTGTTCCTCTTTTTAGCCTGGCCTGCTCCAAGAGGATTTCTATATGGCAGCTGGCCTAAAGCATCTCCCCTGGCCGCAACTGGTAAGTCCAGCACATGACGCTGTGCTTCATGGGACAGCCAACACTCACACCACTCACCTGCTCCCAGGGCTGGCTGCAGGGACAGGCCAATTCACCTCTATAGCCCCCACAAAGGTAGAATCCTGTGCCTCATGGAGCCCAACACCTGATTTTCTACCTGCATGAAATTCAGAGGCTGCAAGCTCAGGACTGAGAGAGAGACAAGCATGGACTGCCTAACAGTGGAACCAAATGCAAACCTTTATTTCCAGTCGGGTTAGTTTTGCACAGAAGCACTGTTCACAACAGCAGCCCCTTCAGTCAGAAGCAAATGACTAAGGATTCAGTTTCTCAGGTTACTCCTCAAAACATCTCCAAGCAAATACATAAATAATGTATAAATACAAAAAATGTGCTGCAGAACCATCGAGCAGTGCAGCAGTCACTATAGGATTTCCAACAGTAATAAAAAAGTAAACCCAAATTGTCACAGGGTCAGTTTCTTTGGTGGGAACTGAACTCAGAGCATTTCAGTTTCACATCAAGAATAAACAGTCTCTCTCCCAGGCCAAGGCTACAGACCCTCATCTCGAGTTCGCTGTCAGTAAAGATAGGCTTTCATATCTCAGCCCTTGAGTGGAGTAGCACAGCAACCTGGGTGGCACAAAACGGTCACTGAGGGGTCTGCTCCCACCCTGGGCAGTCAGTACCTGTTGCCAGCCCATCTCAGATGGGAAAGGGGAAGGTGCTACAGAAGACAACAGCCTCAGAAAAAATTCCCCTTCTCCTGAGGCCAGTCACAACATTCTGTGTTGTACCTGCTGTGTAAAGCTGCAGCACTTCTGCTCGCCTTAAAACTGGGTGGGTTAAGGGAAGAATAATCCCTTTTCCCTATACTATACACTCAAAAAGACCTTGGCCTCAGTAGGGCAACTAATCCCTGAAGCTTTCTCTAGCCATGGCCCATTCTGTGTTGCAGGAAGGTGCACGGTGCTTTGTCAGTGGAGGTGCTGCACAGACAGGAGAAACCATCCAGCTGCTACAGCGCAAGACAGGTAGACAGGGGCTCTGGGTTCTGGGAGGTACCATTAGACAGCAGGGCAGCAAAACCGAGCACAGCAGCAGAGATGGGGCTACAGTACAAAGATAACTGTCAGCATTCACTCTGGGAATACATAAGGTGTGTCCTGGAATACATGTGTATGTGCACTGCTGTCTATTAAGTATCATTAATTCCTCATTAGTAGTGATAGTAGTAGTCCCTCCCCCACCTCAACACCTCAGTTCAAGGGAAAATCTGCACCACTCCAGTGCCTGCTGCTCCTTGCCATTGGGATGCAGAACAGGAACCTCCAGGTCAGTCATCGGGAGAGATGTTGCACCAGCTGCTCAAACTGCTCCCGCTGCTGGTAGATGTAAAGCTGGGTGTCCCAGAGAGCATCCACCAGCACAGAGTCGTTCACCTCATCCAACATCACCTCTGTCTGCAGCTGTGGGCTCAGCCTGCATACAGCGAGACATCATCACCAGCTGAGCACAGACACGAACACAGGAAGGCAGTGAGCCTGCCAAGCACAAGATTTGTGCCAAGTGGCTCTCAAAGTGGCTCCCAACACAGAATCACAGAATGGTTTGGGTTGGAAAGGACCTTAAAATCATCTAGCTCCAACCCCCCTGCCATGGGCGGGAATGCCTCACACTAGCCCGTGTCACCCAAGGCCCTCTCCAACCTGGCCTTGAACACTTCCAAGGATAGAGAGTTTATCACTTCTTTGGGCAGCCTGTTCCAGTGCCTCACCGTCCTCACAGTGAAGAGCTTCTTCCTTATACCTAACCTGAACTTCCCCTGTTTAAGTTCAAACCCATTGCCCCATGTCCTATCACTACAGTCCCTAACGAAGAGTCCCTCTCCAGCATCCTTTGAGGCCCCCTTCAGATACTGGACATGCAGCAGTCTTGCAGAGCAGAGGCCTTCCCCCTCCTTCAAGGCAAACCTACGCTCAAGGCTGAGGCACAGTTCAGCACCTGCACCACTTAAGGCACGGCTCTAAACCAGGCTGTGGCATGGTGGGATAGGGCAGGTCTCAAAGGACCCTGTTAGCCAGCATCCCCTGAGACCCCACTCCCTGATCCCAGACAAGGTGTGCTTGGGGCATCAGCTCATACAGTGAGCCATGGCATCCTCTGTTATGCCACTGAGGCATGAGGAGAGGGGGCAGGAGGACAGGACTGGGCAGGCATGCCTCTGGAGGGGATGCTATTTGGGATGACACATGCCTCAGGCAGGTCTGAAGCGAGAGGAATAAAAATAGGTTGGTGCAGAGGGTGGAAAGGAAGCTCCTACCGGAAATATGGGACATCCGTCATCTCGCACCAGGCCCTGGCACGATCCACAGCTGGGCCATCTGCGTCAGTGCACTGCAGGAGAACCAGGCCCACAGTTAGAGCCTTACTGACACACTGCTCTTCCCCTGCCTGCAAGCGGCTCCTGGCTTCTCTAGCATTTACTAAGCCAAACTGCACAAGCCACAGAGGGAAAGGGAAAGCCAGGAGCAAGTGCATGCCAGATGGCACCGGTCACCACCAAGAGAGGGGTGGCTTTTTATTCATTTTAATGTAACACCAGTGCTCCCGATCCTTGGGACACAAGGAATTGCACGCTACAGATCCTCCATCCATCACAGCACCAAGTGGATTCCCTTAAGTATACCCCCAGGATGATCTGAATTGCAGCCTCCTTGGGATTTCATCTCTATCCATTTCTGTCCCAGCCCAGTACCAACAGAGCCTGTGATTACTACAGGCTTTCTGGGCTATCCTGAAACACCTTCCCTGGGACCCCTGAAATAAAAGACAGGGGAAGCAGAGGGATCTCTCTGGCTATTTCCTGACTTTAGGAAGCTAAAAGGACAGAAAGCAACAGAAGCAGGATTACAGTCAGAACCTGTGTTCTGATCTTTCTGGCTGTTATTCATTCGGAGTGTTTTCACGTAATCATCTTTCTAAAGCATGCAAGGACATCTGCCTATTACATACTCCTAACCACTGCTCTGAACTACTGCTTTCTGTTAGTGATGCTCCCACTTCTTCAGCATTTACTGATTTCCCCAGTAGCGATAACACAGCTTTTCTAAATAAGAAGGAATTGGTGTTTTCCAAGTTGTGGGGTTTGTTTCTGGTCCAGATTGCTCAGATGCTCCCTAAAAGATACTGAGCTTTATGAATTCACACCTGAAAATGTCCCTAAGGGTCATGACCACCATCCTGTCCTCACCTCCTTTCAGCTGGAAGGAATTCCCTTGGCAGTCAAATCCCCAGAGAGGAAGACAGGGCTTCAGACCTGATGTGCACTCACAGTTCTTAAGTTACCCACTATGTCCATTCCTTGAACTGATCAGAACAGTTCCAAGGAAATACAATTTTCTTCCAAAAGGAAGCAGCTGAAGACTGGAAACCTTCGCTCCCCCCTGCCAGCAGCCCCAGGGGTCTTCCCCCATCCCTCCTCCCAGTACTCACACAATCCACTACCATCTTGCCGAGCTCCCTCGCTCCAAAGACAGTCTTTGCCAGCTCCCAAGGGTTGGAGGGACGGAAAACATCCACGGAGCTCACCGGTACCTGCGGAGGCTTCCCGGTCCCCAGGGAGACCACCAATCCCAATTTTTTTACTTCCTGCTTCTTACCCTGTGGGCAAACAGAAGATTTGTTTGCAAGGACCAACGATTCATGCAGAGCATTCCCAACACACATCCCCCTCCGTACACCCCCTTCTAGGGCGCTGCATCCATGGCTAATGGATGGAGAGGCATCCATCCATTCCCAAACCATCTTCCCCTTCAAAGGAGGCTCTGTGGAGCCAACAAAGCCCCGGTTACCAGCCAGGGCCAGCATTTCCCTCACCTTCTTGATGAGCGTCTTGTTGTACTCATGGATCTCTGTCAGGGCATCGAGGGTCGGGTTGTTGGCTAGCAGCCCACCATCCAGAAAGCGGCCTATGGGCCGGAAGTAAGTGGGAGCTGCACCACTGCAGCGGGCAGCACGCCACACAAGCTGGTCTGGAGGGAGAAAAAGCATACGGCCTCTTGCAGCAACTTTCCTGGGTGCAAGAAACACCCCACCTTCACCTGCACAAAGCAGGGGGGCTTGCAACCCCAGAAGACCCTTGCCCTACATTGTTGTACCTCCTTCTCCCAACAGCAGGGACTCTGCTTGGATGCACAGGATCGTTTGGGGGTGCTTTAAAAGATGTTCCCACCACTTTCTATGTATCATGGGTCACATCTACTCACTACCAGTTTCACTGCTGCTCCTGAGAGCCCAGGGAAAGGTACTGACCATATGCATGACTCCTCTAGCACACCCCTTCCTCATGAACCTAGCTGGCCAGCCCCTGGTACAAGAGAAGCCAAGGGAGGAGAAGACTGAAGAAAAGGCAACCACTGCTAGGACCAAGCTGCAAGTCGAGATCAAGGACAAGCCATTGCTGGACACCCCCATTTTCAGAGCAGTGGGAGGAAGCACAGGAAATCTTGCATCTCTGAGAGATGGCTTTGTCCCCTGCCAACCAACTGGACTGCTGTGTGCCAGCACGTACCTTGCGGCTGAGTGAGTGGTCTGAATGATGCACTTGTCTTGTATTCAGTGGAGGTCTTTGTCTCTGGCACAGGGTAGTTCCGGAAAAGATGGAGTTCAGCTGGCTGGCGGTCACACAATGTCCCCGTCACCATAACCCTGGAGAAGAGGACATAGCAGAGTAAGAGTAAAATGGGGGAAACAAAACGTACTTATGGCTTCAACAGTCTGCACATCACACTTGTTCAGATCTGCTCTAAGGAGAAGCTGAGTATCTCTGCTAAGAATGGTTTAGCGCACACCCAGGAGAGCATCAACCAGAGCAGCCCCATGCAGGACTTACTTGGGTCTTTGGACATCTGTCATTTTGGTGTTTTCCCCAAATTCCTTCTTCAAGAACTCATCCAGGGGCTCCGACTCGTAGGGCCGAGACCCCCGGAACACCATGTCCTTCATGCGGAAGTACAGGCAGCGCATGTAGTCCATGGACTTCCCTGAGACAGGCAACAGCGTTGGCAGGAGCAAAGAGCAGGGAGGAAGGGCAGGCAGAACAAACAGCACATCAGAGCTGGGACCTCCCCAGCACCAGTGGGAGATGGGAGGAGTCGCTCCCAATCCCATTCCCTTCCCAAGCTGTCATCTGCTCAGAGCTCAGCAGCTTGATTGGGAAGGATTAAAAAGGAAGGGCAAGCTCAGAGCATAGCTTCCCACTAACAGAAAGTGTTGATCACATTGCTGTAAAACCCCCATGGAAAGGGCAGGAAGAACAGGACATTGCACTCTGCCAGCACTTACTTCCCCAAACCCAGAAAGCCACCCAAGGCCAGCTGATGTGAGAAGCAAGAGAGAGGAGAGCAAGGCTTTCCTTCATTAATGAACATCCCTTCTCTCCTTTGGCAGGGACAGCAAATCTCAGCTGGGACTCAAGAGAGGCAGCTCCTAACCCACAGAGGAGAGCTCAGGCCCACAGGAGCGAGAAGGGGCCCATTATTTGCACTGTGCTCACCATGCACAATAGCCAGTGCCAAGATCCCCCCAGTGCTGGTCCCAGCGATCCAGTCAAAAATCTCACGAATGGGACGGCCCACAGCCTTTTCAATAGCCAGGAGGAGCTGGATGAGCACCAGGCCCCTGATGCCCCCTCCATCCAGGCACAGGAGGCGGTCGTGACTGCAGAGAGAGACAGACACAAATGACTCGGAGCTGTGGGACAGCTTACAAATCACAGCATGCCACGTGGGAACGCAGCCCTGGGGATGGGGAACTATGCCAGTAACTAGAAGGCTGCTGTGGACAGTGTAATCAGTGAACAAATAAATCCAGAGGTGCTTCCTCAGATGCAAGTAAGACTGGGCACAGTCAGATAAGCCTCACTGGAGCTGGTGCAACACCACTTGCTCTTTTAGCCATCTCTAACCTCTGCACCAGAGAGATGGTCACAAGCTGAAAATGCCCCCAAGTCCCTTGGGTATTGTGTCATAAATAAAAAGCAGACAGCTCTACATTCCTTCAGTGCCAACCCTCTGCTCCATGCAAGGTGAGGTGCAGGCACTGTTGAGGCAGTACACAGCCTGGCAAAGGAGCTGGGTGAGCATCATGGCAGCAGGTAGAGATGGAGACATCTTCAAGCCAAAACAGCGTTTGGTGTTCAGTGGCAGAGGGGACAGAGCAGGGTTTTCACCTGCTGAGCTCTGGCTCCACTGCAGCTCCAGGCCGTGGTCATTTACGGGAACAGGGATTTATCACAAGGTTCTGGCAAAAACTGCATCAATGGACATTAAATAATATCAGCTCTGAGGACGCCACACTCAGGTGTTTGTGGGGAAACCTCACACACACAGATTTCACCTTCAAGTTGCATGGTGGCCTGGACAGAAGCTGTTCCTCACTTACTTTCTTCTACCCTCACTGGGTGAGTCCAGAACATCTGGTGCTTTCAACAACTGCCCGAGCGCTGCGGAAGCATACAGAAGGTCCTTGTACCCTAAAAGGCCATGAAAATGCAGGAAGAAAACAGTAATTAGAGACCACTTTGCTACCTGAGGCCTCTGCTATGTGCCTCCAACACAGCAGCCAACCAAATTATACTTAATCAGTTAGAAAACCTTCAATTATTCTTCTTACTTTGCCCCCAGAAAGCTTAACCAGAGTACCCAAACCTCCCACCAGTGCAGCAAATGATTTCCACCACCATCATACAGAGAACATCCAACTCCCTTCCCAATTGAATAAAGCTCCCTGCAGGAGACACAGCCACCTTACCCATAGCCACTAGGTACCCCCCTAGATCAAACGCCACACAAACCCATCCTTTAGAGCAGACAGCTGGAGACGCACTGGTAAAGACAGAGGATTTGTAGAAGCAGATGAGCACAGTAAGCAAGAGAGAAGGCAGAGCCTAGCAGCATGCCCACTACGGAGTAAAGTAAAACCTAAATCTACTCCTGCAAGGTAATCTAAGCAGGAGAGCTGTGGGGACAGGGTGGCTCGTCATTACCCCTCAGCTGACGTACACCCAGGCCATCCTGGGTGCAGGGCACCAATCCAAGCTAGGTGAGAAGCCAGCCTGTGAAACCAAAAGAAGAAAGAACAGGGGGAGAGAAGTTAAAACACTCTTGCCAGTGCTCAGGCTGGAAGGTGGCTGTGGATGACAGTGAATGTGGTGAGAGGTTCCTTCAGGGGCCAGAGTCCATGATGAAAAAGGGCCTTGCTCTGCCGCTGCATGAGAGCTGAAACAGGGGGGCTGCCTTCACAAGGTCATGGTGAGAAGAAAGTCCTGGTGTCACCAGCTAGCGAGACTTATGGTAACACAGACACACCCAAGAGCCTGGCAGGGGGCTGTCCTCCAGCCCCACAGGAGGGTCTTTGCAAAGGAAAACACCAACCTGAACAGGGAAGAGGACACGAGCAGCTGCTGTTTGCCTGCATGCCCTTCATGAGGGTCAAGTCTTGCTCCAAGCCAACTCACCCAAAGCCCACTCTTTAACCCCTCCCACTGCCTCTGCCTCAGCTCTGGAGCTCCCCAGAGGAGGAAAGCCTGTCATCTAGAATAGACCTAAGGGCTTATTCGCACAGTTTGGGCAGTAAAGAGCACAAGCCATGACACAATCATATGTGCATAGGTAGGCTTTTCCTACACATAACAAATCCTGTGACCAGGGTCACTTATCCTTGGGCTTCATCCCTTCCATCTCCCAGCACCTGGCCTCCAGGTTCAGAATGACCAATGATTCTAATTTCCTTCTGCCCAGCACAACACTGGCAGGTCCTCAAGGCATACCAGCAAGTAGTTCCCTTTCTATACATGACCCAGTGGATAAAGTTCATGCAGGTAACTAAGTCCTACACCTCTTCCAGAGGGTCTTCCCTTTCGTTTTTACAGAGCTGTATTGTGTCAGGTCTATGAAACAGAAGTTTAGATGACAAGAGTTTAGAGTACACACAGAGGAGAAACAGAGAGAAGAGACAGGATCTTGCAACAGCTGAATGAGAACAGTGATGAGAAACTGAGACCCAGGAGACAGTCCCCAGAGTGCAGCCCATCTGAAGGAGAGATCCAAGACAGTGCTGTGAAGAAAGAAGGGAGGAAAGTGCAGAAGGGCCAGGGAAGGCTTTACCTAAGCTGTTGAAGCTGCTCCGCGAGGAAGGTTGGCCTTCCAGGAAGAAGGAGGTGGCAGCTGGTGCCAGGCTTGGGGAGTCAGGGTTGGGTGGGTGGCAGCGTTCGGTCCCTACAGTTTGCAGCAGGTCTAAGAGCACTTTCCGGTTCGCACCTTAGGTGACGAAGGGGAAGTCACAGATCAGAATCAGTGCACACACACACTGGTGAGGGCTCTGCCAAATTCACAGCAGCCCTGACCCTCATAGAGCTTCTGGGATGACCCGGGGGAGAGGAAAGCACATCCCAGGTATCTGTCCTGAATAAGGCAGCAGGACTTGTGCACAATAGGGGTACTTCGAGGGTGTGTGCCACACACTTCTTGCCACTGAAGAACTGCCCCTATCTGCTTATGCCTGGGCAGCTCAGCGGCACTGCATCATCCAGTTTTGAGCCTGCAGTGCCTGACATCATGGCATGAAAGAGGGGGACTATGTGCCAGCTTCTCCTCTTGAGTCTCTGTCTCATGGAAGAAAAATTCATCAAGGGCTATTAATACAAAGCCTATGCCGTTAGCTCAGGAAGTGCCTACCCTATGAGCGACTAGAAGCTGGGAAAGCATGCTGGAGAAGCATTACACACTCTTGACATGTTTGCACCTCTCCCCAAGACGCTGTTTCAGGCACCAAGAGGGACAGGCTGCTGGCTGGGTTCACCCTGTGAAGTTGCTGACGTGCTCCTCACCTTTGCTGCTCCTGGCTGCCAACAACCCTGGCGTCTCCCCGAAATCATTGGGGATCTCAATATCTCCTCCAAACACGACGATCGCTTTGATCATATCCAGGTGGTCGTGCTAGGGCACAAGAGAAAGCTCAGTCAAGAGCCATGCTCCCCTCAGCTACTTGACTTCTCATTCCCTCCCTCCTCATTAGCCAAAGCAGCCACAAGGGATCACCCCATAAAAGACAACAGCCAGAATTTCACAGGAGCCTTCAAGAAAACCCCCCTTCCTCTTCCCAGCAGCCTCTGCAGAAAACTCACCTTCATGGCCAGGTGCAGCGGTGTGTTGCCATCCTGACCCCTGGCATTGGTGTTGGCCCCGTGTGTCAGCAGGACCATGGCACAGTCAAAGCGTCCCCTCTTGACCGCGATGTGCAGAGCCATGTCAGCCGTCCGGCTGGTCACATTCACCTCAGAGCCGTACTCAAGCAGCAGCCGTGTCATCTGTGCCCAAGCGTGCGTGTGCCAGGTCAAGAAGAGAGAAAGGCATCATGAGGACAACTGCCTGGATGCTCAAGTGATCCAGGTCTCATCACAAGCAGGGGAAGAGGAAGGAGCCTTAGCCTGGATATAGCAGGTTGGCAGATGCCAGCCGCATTGTTCCAAGCACTGGAGATGGGGTTTCTCTGCCTTCTACCACAGAACTAGTTGGTGGTTTCACAATCTGTCTAGAGATTCCAAACGTTCTGGGAGTTGTGCACCAGTGTAATGATTGCCTGAGATCAACAGGGGGGAAAAAAGTTCCTCTCAAGCCAAAACCCTTGCAGACTGGAGGGAAAAAGTTTTCTTTTTCATCTTCTCTACAAGCCAAGCAGACTTATGCCTACTCTGAAACTCCACAGGACATTTCCGAGAGGAATGTGATACTGCAGGAGGGAAACAAGTCCAACCATAGGAATGTCCTTTGCTTGCAACTAGCACCATTCAGGTGCTCCAGGATGGTGTATCACACATGGTGGAAGACAGATCATAACCTACATGCCACCTCCCTGCGCTGTTTCAACTCTTCCCCTGCAGTTTTTAAGGCATCAGTCTGTTTCCTCCCATGAAACTGGCAGGTAATGAGAAGAGAGCTCCCCCCACGGGCAACTGGGCTTCAGTGACAGTGCTCAATTTTCCCAGCAAAAGGGACAAGAAGATGGCAATTTCACAGCTATGGATGAAACACTAGGGACAAGCCCACCAGTTGATTTCTTTGCAAGGCTCAGCTGTCCTTCCCCGCATGGCAAACAGCACTGATCAGCACAGGGCAAAGAGAATCAAACATCGGGCTGCTGGCTGGGCTCTGACACTCTGAGGGTTCTGCCTGTGCACTCAGAAAGGGACAGGTTAGCAGCAGGAATTAACCAGGTGCTGGGTGGCAGCACAGGCCCTCACCACAGGCTCCATTTACCTCCGCTTTCTTTGCCCAGTGCAGCGGAGTGGCTTCATGGCGTGGGTCCTTGGAGCAAACCTGGCTGGCATCCACCTCCAGGATGGCCTGGGCACAGCTGGCAAAGACAAGGAGATGAAGGGATGGATGGATGGATGGATGGATGGATGGATGGATGGATGGATGGATGGATGAATGGCTGCTGCCTTGACTCAAGACCTCCACTCACATCAGCACCAGCCTCCCACCCAGAGCCTCTGAGGAAATCCTGCAGCAGCAGCAGCAGGCTCTCTGTAACACCTGCAAGTTCCTCAGCTGCAGTTTTGGTCTGCTCTTTTTAGAAAGAAAGAAAGGGCACAACAGGAAGCACACAAGCAGCACAGTGTTTGGAACAAGCGGGAGAATCCCTTCCCAACTCCAAGTTGTGGAGCAACATCTGCTTCTCCAGTACAGCAATATGGCATTTCTGGAAACTTTCAAGACCCAACAAGTCTTCTTCTCTCTCCATGGAAATGTGGCGATAAAACTGAAATAGTTGAATACTTGCTGAAATTAAGGACCTGTGTACTTCCCTATGAGTGAAAAATCACATCATTTGTGAATAGACCAGTGCCTAGAAAACATGGGAGGTAGACTTGCACTCTCTGCTCTCAAACAACACTAAACAAACCATGTAGAAGAGATGGAGCTCCGCTGCAAACTAAGGGACCTAAACACAATTTTTCCCCAGTAAATGTATCTCTGATGCTGTAAAGCACTTTCAAAATGCTGAAAATTGTCCAGCAGCAGCTAGTGTTGACTTGAGAGCCCTACTTGTAGACCTTGGACACTGAAAATTAAGTACCAGAAGGCACATTGAAAGAGAATCAAATTTCTCCAGGGAAAACAGGGAGTAAATATTGTGCCTTTTCCAATTCAGTTCCAATGTGTTTATGATTTCCCTACCCATGGCAGGGGGGCTGGAACTCGATGACCTTAAGGTCTTTTCCAACCCAAACCATTCTACGATTCTGAGATTGAGAGTAAAGAGTATCTTTGGCCTACACGAGACAGGAATAGCCAGGCTTTGAAATGAAAGCTTATTAGGATGAGAGCACTCAAAGATAGAGCAATTAGCAACACTACTTAAGCATCAGTGAATCATCCTCCCACGAGTCATTCTGAGAAAAGGTATTTCACAAACTTCTTCCTACTGAGCACTTCCCTGAAAGGGCCCACTCTTGGACAACCCTGAGCAAGCAGACAGGTCCCCAGGCTGGAGAAAGAGCCCTGTGCTGGCATCCCAAGCAGTTACTTACCCTTTGTGGGAGAACTTCAGTGCTGTGTGGATGGGGTAGCCCAGCGTGCCCACGACGCTGCAGCTGGCACGGCATTTCAGCAGGGACCGAACCATGTCCTCTTTGCCCAGCTGACAAGCAAGATGCAGAGCAGTCAGCCCTTCATGGCTCAGGTGGTCCAACCCAGTAGTTGGGGTTTTGCCCAGGAGCTGGGGAGAGGAGACAATAAATAAATAGACAGACAGACATGGAAGATACCATCTCTCTTCCTGAGCTCTCAAGGACAGACTCTGGAATGCTGGGTTCCTTGTGATGCTACAGTCTGTCCTCTCCACCCCTGCTTCCAACAGAGCAGCTACAGAAATGCTCCTTGTTCTCTCTCCCTAGAGGGTTTATTGCAGCTCTCCATGCCCTTCTCCTCTGGCCTGGGTGCTTCTGAGACACCCCTGAGACGAAAAGGGCTCACGCCACCTTGAATGACGCAGCCCAGCAGACTCCCAGCATCTCCCACTGCGTGAGCCAAGTTCAGTCCAACAACATGAGAGTGCCGAGTGAAATCAGTAGTTTCCTCCCCTGCTGCAGCCCCATCCATTACCACAGCCACTTAGTAGGCAGGAGCTCAACCTCCCCGGCAACTCCATCACTGCTTTCAGACACAAACAGGATTCTGTTTAAAATAGCCATGTGGGAATATATTTGAAGGAATTTTCCTATTCTCCCCCGAATTCTGTATCTGTTACTCAGAAATATTCCACTGCCATTCTGGTGGAACCCTGCAAGCCCTTGTGGCAGGAATTTAGTTTCTTTTCTTTGGTTTAGCAAGAAAGAGAAAGAAACTAACAGGAGACAGATCGGACCTAGAAGCATTTTGTTAACAAGTCAAGTTGCTGCCATCGGAGAAATAAAGGAAGAGGCCATCTTGTCAATATAAAGGTCTTAACTACCCTGCTCCACAGCACGGCAAGTACTGATTGTCATCCCTCCCCCATCATGAGTTAGGAAACCCCAGCACAGTCTGGCAGGCAGAGGGAGAGCTGTCACAATAGGTATTGGGCAAATGGCGGCTGCTGCCATAGGGGCAAGCCCATCTCACACTCCCACTGGGTGCTGGGGAGCTGACAGACCCACAGGACAGACATGGAAAGCCACCCACATCTTACGAACCCTGCCACTCTGCCCAAGCTTCTCAGCAATTACAAACTCTCCGGCTTCAGACTGTCCCTGCCTTGAGGCTCCGACTGCTCCCCCTCATGCAAGGCCACTCAGTTCAGACAACAGGTTCTGCAGCTCAGGGGAGCCACAGGCAGCTCCAAACTGTCCTTCAGTCTGTGAGCAACACATGCCTCCCCACAGCAGCCTAAACAAATGATCCCCCTGCTTTGAGGAGGTGGAGAAGGAAAAGCAAGGACCTGAAGAAAGGCAGGATCAAGGCCTGATGCAAAAAGCAGTGAAGGACACCTTCTAAGGGAACTTGTTTCTTTCCACTGCAGGGTGGAAGCTGGAGCATGCTTATGGGAAACAGCATCAGTAAAGGGAGGGGAAAAAAGAAGCTGAAATCACCCTCAAGCATTAACTCGATGCTGCAGCAAAGAGAACTGACTTTCTCCTCCATTCTGCAGCTATTTTCCCGTCTCCGTCTTCACAGCATAGAGAGGACCCATTCTAGTCCCACTTAGTCCCTCCCAGCTTTGAAATCACTCGCACCTCGATGATGTGGGGGCTGTTCCCTCGCACAGCATAGTGGAACACAGTCTCCCCATGGATGTCAGTGATGTCCACCCGTGCGTGGCACTCCAGCAGCTCCAGCAGGCACTCCATGTCTCCCTTGCGGCACGCCAAGTGCAGCGGGGTGCAGCCATCCTCGCTATCTACGCTGTTCACACAGCTGCAAGAGAAAAGTCAATGTGAGGCCAAGGAAGGGCTGCAAAGAGGAGGATGTACTGCTGCCCTGGGAGCTGATACAAAGGTACCTCCCACGTCTGCGACAGGCCCAGCTGGTGTGAACCACAAGGTTCACAAAAGCCAGGCTTCCTGCCATGGAAGGAGCACAGTGAAGGGCAACCAAAATGCCCTACCACAGATCTTGACCTCTGTTCCTTCCTCTGCTCCCTACATGGGAGGGGCTCCCCCTGCCCAAAAGAAGGCAGGGGACAGGTTACAGTCAGCAACATGGTGCTGCCTCAGACTCCTAACTCCTCACTAGTCTCCTTTATCCTCAGTGAACTTTCCCATGGAAAGAGACCAAGGGCTTGTGGCCAAAACCCATACCCAGCAAGACAGTTGTACTGTACCTCCTGTCTCGTGGTTCACACTCAGCTACTATCCCTTCCAAAAAGCAGTTCCACAAGGGTTGCAAAATCTAATTAGTGTTTCTGGCCAACCACTTTGATCCTTTAGCTCAAACACCAGAGCTCTGGCCTTTAATGTCCATTGAAAACCCTCCAATAACCTTACACAGTGAGCCCTGGATCCCCTTTGCTGCCACATCTGCCACTCAGGCAAGACACAGCAAAACTGCCACTTTTCAACTCAATCTCTGCAGTAATCACAGGTATATCAACCTCCTCCATGACAGAGCTCCCGATGCTTTGGCACATCAAGGAGGGATACCCTAATCAGGCCCAGCCCACCACCCCAAGCTCATTCCCAGCACTAGGCCCACCGGAGGCCCCTCCTGCCCCTTGCCTCATGACATGGTTGTGCCGGAAGGTCTCACGATGGCCGATCTCCACCGCGACGTGTGCCGCGGACCAGGTGGGATGGTTGCGGATGCAGTCGCTGAGCTGCTGGAGCTCCTCCAGCGACAGGGGCTGGCGCGAGGTCTCGTAGAAAGGGCGCAGCAGCCTGGAGTACTGCTCAAAACGCACCAGGGCATCTGCTTCGGTGTCGAGCTGGAAGAGCCTGGGGAAAAGGGAAACACAGCGTTGGTCCTGCTCAGAGGAACAGCCTCCATCGCAAACAGCTCTTCTCCAAACAGTAGTGCTAGGGACTTTCCTCATTCCTCCTCGTGTGGTGGTACGCTCCTTCCAAGGAAAGAAGGGAGACTACTTTGTTAGCAGAGAGCATCTATTCTTCCTGAGCTGCTTCCACAAGCTGTTCTAATGACAACTTTTGATGGCTTCCCCTTCCTCAGGAGCCCACCTGATGGAAGCCCGCAGCCACACGGCATCACGCTCCTGAGCCCATGTCTTTAGTTTCGCTCTTGAGCAGTGACTGGTAACGACCAGTCCATCACTTACCGGAAAGCGACCTGTGGGCTCTGGGGGTTCACCAGCAGGCAATCCCAGGAGCGAGTGAGGTTGTTCCTGTACAGAGCCACCCTTCCTTCCTCCCTGAGACAGGTGTGCGCCGCATACTCGGCAGCCGGCACCTCCTTCACCCGGTACGGGTTAGTGAATATCTGCGTGACGCTGTTGATGGTATCCACCAGCCGGCCGAAGAACTGCATCTTTATGGAGCCTCAGGCGGCTTCCCGGCCGCGTCCTGAGGGAAACCCGGCCGCAGGCTCCGCCCGGACCTCGCCTGAACGTAGCGACACACTGCCGGGTAACGCGAAACGAGAGCCGCCGGCGGGAGGGAACCCCGGCACCTTCTTTCCTCCGTCCCCCGGGAAAGCACCCGCTTCCCCTCAGCACCCCACGGCCACCACCCCCCTCTCTCAGGCCCGTTACTGCTCTGCCTCAGCGGGAAGCGCCCGGCTCCACGGCCGCTGCCGGGGCCCCGTTCCCGCCGCTGGGGTCGAACCCGCGACCTCGCAGCCGGGGGCAGCGCGGAACCGTGGCGCGGCGACCCCCGCAAAGCACGACGGGCCCCCAGCGGCGCCCGCTCTGCCGGCAGCCCGCCAATCACCGCCCCGCCCCTCCCCTCCCCTCCGGACGGGCCAATCAGTGGCGCCGCTGACGGGGAGGTGCGACCGGGGCGGGGCGACGGCTGCGTCACACCCGGAGGAGGGCGGAAAGGCTGGAGACGCCATCTTTGTGTGGGGCAGGGGCGCTCTTCTTAAAGCGGCAGCGCCCCATTCTGCAGGGATTGAGTGGGGATGCTCGGCGGGAGGGAGCCATTCTTAAATATGGGGGAGAAACAGGAGCTTTTGTGCGTGTCTGCGTGTGCCCTGGCGTGTCTGACCCACCGGCGGCGTGCGAGGCCCGGGTGTCACCCCCGGGAGCTTTAAGGAGCGGCGGCCGCTTTAAGAGCAGCGGGGCGGTGGGAGCGGAGGGGCGGGGTGTCGATGACGTCACCGCATGACTGTGTTTTTATGAATGAAAAGAATCCGCGGGTGAGTAATCGCGGGGAGCGGGCTTGGAGGCGCCGCCCGACGGCACGACCTGGCAGCAGCCCCGCGGCACCAGCGCAGCCCCTCGGTAATTACGGGACGGGATCGGAGGGGAGAAATACCCCCAGGGTGCTCCCTCCGCGTCCGGCTTCACCCGCCCCACGCCCCCCCTCGCGGGGTCTGCCACCGGCTGGAGGCCGCTGCCCCGCCGCCCGCATCGGGACGGGGAGGGCTGGGCTGGGATGGGATGGGATGAGGGGTGTCCGTGCTCGGGATCAGCCGCGCTTCCCTCTCGCCTCCCGGCCACCGCCCCGCAGGGAGCCAACGCGGCTCCCCCGGCTCCGACGGCGGCTCTTCGGGCCGGATTGCATCAGCTTCCAGCCCGCCCGGCTCCACCTTCCCCGACGCCCCCACCCCCCCCCAGCCCCTCACCTCCCCGGCCCGGCCCCCATCGCCCCTCCGGGGGTCTGCTAATGCGGAGGAGGCGCCCCGCGGCGGGGAGCGGCTGCCGGGCTGCAGCCCGGGCTCCCGGCCCGCTCCCCGCGCTCCTAAACCCAGGGAGCGGAGGGACCGGCCGCCGGCCAGGGGACAAGCGCCGCTTCCCTGATTTTCCCCCTCCCGGGCTGCTGAATCACGGGGAGGCCGCGGTCCCCTCCTTGCGCCCCCCGAGCCCGTGGACACCGGGCGCTGGGATGGGGACTGGGAGCCGCAGTGCCCGTGACCGCCGAGCCGGCGGCAGGTGGGAGGCACTTCGGCGCGGGTCCCGGCTGCGTGGCTTCACCGCTGTTTCGCACCGTGGGGCTGCTGCTTTTACTTTCCTTTCAGCCCCGGGCGGATCTAACCCGGATTTCCTCCCCGAGAGGAAGCCTCAGGCGCTCCCCTTCCCCCGGCAGCCGGCTGGGGCATTTCGGGTCCCCCGGGCAAAGCAGCATCCCGACCGCCTCGGGGTGGGATGAAGAGTCCAGCCTTCCCCCGTGACTATTGTGTTTTGCGGTCATTATTGCTATCATCATTGTTAAGTACTGTTAAAGGAATAGGGATGAGTTCTGTGGCCGCCAGTGGGGACATGGGCAGGGGGCAGCAGGGATGGTGCCCTCTGTGCCGAGGTGAGCGGCACAGGGCTGGCAGTAACCGGCTTTTCTCCTGATTGCTCTGCAGGGCCAGTGTGAGGCAAGGATGGCTGCAGATGGACTCGCCAGCAAGGCCCTAAAGGTGAGCGCTAGAGGAATGAGGGGTTTAGAGGTAACAGTGTTGGCTTTAGGGGTCTCAGGTGATGGCCCCTCTCTCTGGCAGGTGAAGCGGGAGCTGGGGGAGAACACGCCGCTGCTGTCAGATGAGGAGCTGATGGGGCTGTCAGTGCGGGAGCTCAACCACCACCTGCGGGGCCTCTCCAAGGAGGAGGTGGCGAGGCTGAAGCAGCGCCGGCGGACACTGAAGAACCGGGGTTACGCCGCCAGCTGCCGGGTGAAGCGTGTGTGCCAGAAGGAAGAGCTGCAGAAGCAGAAGATGGAGCTGGAGTGGGAGGTGGACAAGCTGGCCCGGGAGAATGCTGCCATGCGGCTGGAGCTCGACACCCTTCGTGGCAAGTACGAGGCCCTGCAGGGCTTTGCCCGCACTGTGGCTGCCCATGGTCCCCCCGCCAAGGTGGCCACCGCCAGCGTCATCACCATCGTCAAGTCCAGTGCCAACCAGGCCGCCTACTCCTAGTGCTGGCCTCCATTCCCCGGCCTGCCACAGCCTTCCCAGGGTGCCTTCCCCCACCAATTGCCTCCCACCCCTTCCCCAACCTCCTCCCTGCCAGGACCTGTGCCTGAAATCCTCCTTCTCCCATCCCTTGACCTCCAGCTCCCCCACGCAGGGGGGGCTGCTGCAGTTTGGGTGCTAGGGTGGAGGACAGCACCCCATGGGTGATCCCCAAAGCTCTGCAGCCCTTTCCCCTCTGGGGGCACAGGCAGGAGAGTGTGAGCCTGTGCAGGCAGCAGTGGGGAAGCATCCCAGAGCTCCAAGCTGGCAGGAGAACACCAAGCGCCTTTGGGGAAGGCATGGGAGAGCTACACATGGGCCAGGCACTCCCAGGAGCATGTGCCAGGATGGGAAAGGCAAGGAGGGAGCAAGGGATAGAAGGAATAGGGTGGAGAAAGGGTATCAGCATTAGCCCCAGAATTTGGACCATGGCTGGAGCAGGGATAGAGGTAGCAGCATGGTTGGAGTCTCTTAAGGATGGAGGTGGTGAGGGAAGGTGACATGTCAGAGTGTGAGAGAAAGTAGCTGCAGGTTGGTGGCTGGTAAGGGTAAGCAGGATGGGAAAGTGCTGTGGCAGCCTGCGGTGCTGCAGAGGTGATGGTCATGAAGGAAGGCAGGGGAAAGCTGGGGGGACGTGAGTGGGAGAAGCAGTGGTACTGGTTTATCTTTCTCTATCATGCACATCCTTCACGCCTCTTCCTGCCTATGGGTTGCTCAGCCCAGCTGGGTGTCTCCAAATGCAGCAGCACTGGCAGGAAGGAAGTGGAGGCAGCTGGAGCAGAGATAAACACTATTTTGCTCAGCACAGCCCAGCTTGCACTGCCCCACCGACTGCTCCCCAGTGCCCCACTGCCTACAAAGCCCATGCAAAGGTGCTCCTGACCCCTGACAGCCAGAGCTGTGGAGGTGGAGGTACAAGAGGTAGGAAGCAGGCACAGAGAGCATCCATGCTCCTGGGAGCTGCCTGGCAGGCAGGTAGGCTCCTCCCCTTGGTTTTCCTCCAGCTTGGACACCCATGTGGGACAACCGGCTTCTTCCACAGGCTGAAATGCTGCGGGAGAGTTGGGTTTGCTAAATACAGGCAGCACAGGGGAGGTAATGAGAGGCAGACCCTCGATGGCATCTGCTGCTGTAGATGATCCCCCCCCTTTCTGTCCTTCTGCTCACGCCAGCCATCCTTGGTTGCAGCCTCCATCCCCTCCCCAGAGAGAGGTGCCCACCACTGGTGGGGGGGGCACTGTGGTTCGCATGCCCCCACCCCGACTCCTCTTGGGTTTATTTATTGCACGAACATAAGTTATTTTCACGTCCTCTTTGCCATTCCGCCTCTTGGCACAGCCAGGATGTTGGTACAGAGCCGTACTTTATATTTTATATATACAAATCACATTTTATCTTATATAGAGAAAAAGATATACTTATTTATTTTCTGACTTACAGTACGCATCCTACCTGACTCCTCTGTATTTTGTAGACTTTACAAATAAAGCAAGTTCTTTGTCGTTGGGTTGTTTTCCACAGCAAGAGTGTGTTTGGTCATTCTGAAACTTGAGGACAGAGCTGTCTCTTTGAAACTGGCTTTCTGGCTCCCTCTAGCTTTGCTGCAGGATGTGCTCGAGAACGTACCTGGAAGAAGATGGGGCTGGGGGGGCAGCTTGTGACTTTTTAGAGCAAACACAGATTATTAGTCACAGACTGGTTTGTGTTGGAAGGGGCCTCAAAGCTCATCCAGTTCCAACCCCCTGCCACAGGCAGGGACACCTTCCACTAGGGCAGGTTGCTCCAAGCCCCGTCCAGCCTGGCCTTGAGCACTGCCAGGGATGGGGCAGCCACAGCTTCTCTGGGCAACCTGTGCCAGGGCCTCAGCACCCTCATAGTAAAGAACTTCTTCCTAATACCTAATCTAAATCTCCCTGCTTTCAGTCTAAAGCCATTCCCCCTTTTCCTGTCCCTACAGGTGCTTGTAAAAAGCCCCTCTCCAGCTTTCTCATAGGCCCCCTTTAGGTATTAGAAGGCTGTTACAAGGTCTCACATGAGCTTCTTCTCCTCAAAGTTTATAGTCTCTGGAAGGGTTCAGGCAGCCAGCTGAACACTGCCCATCATCCCCCAAAGCTTTTGCTTTCAGGAGCAGTTTGGCCGCCGTGAATCTTGTTTCCTAAGAAAGATAATGCTTTTCACTAGAAAAATTCCTTCCAGGCTGCCCTTGCACCAGCTGCAGGAGGAGAGGCAGCTGACATCAGGGCAGGTCTACCCAAAACCTCCCCTGCAGGGTGACCTCACCAGCAAGTAGGAAAGCAGAGAGCTCATGGCTGTGGGTGGCAGGAGAAGGTGGAGGAAGTGTGGTAGGTGACTTACCCAGAGGTAAAGCTTGACATCCTCCCATGGGGAAAACCTGCCTTTCCTTGGAACTGAGGTGGAAGTGATGAGCATGTTCCCTGATGCTGGGTCCCAGCCTGCCAGCGCCTTGGAGTGCTCACATAGTGGTTCCAGGTTTTACGTTTGTATTCCTTCTGCCACTGCAAACTGCCCCAGCCCACCACTGCTCACAGAAATAAAACAGAGCTGCTG